GTATAGTGATTAAATTGTAATGACGTTTGGTCAGCAATTGATGAATCGTAACCAATAAGACTTTTGAGGTAGTGTCAATGGTGATAGTAAGAGTAAAACTTTTAGCATTGAAGTTCCATTGAACTTGTTTGATGTTGAGCTTGGTGAAGCTAGTAAGTTTTTTAGCATTGACCTCTTAGTCCTGAGTAAAAGTAATTATGAAAAGGAATCTTTTCCAGATGATGTGAATGATGATGACTTCGATATTTTGTTAAATTTTCGATTGCAAATAGTGAAGATTTTTTGCTAAATATTTTGAATGCAACTCGAAAGCTGAAGAATAATCGTAATACTAAAAGCAGTAAGCTATATAGACCTTGGAGTGAAGTTAATTCAACAAGATTCAGAGGGGGAACTGTGCCTATGGAAATGAAAGTTTGGATTAAAAGGGCAACTTGTGTTAGAAGCGGGACAAATCTTTGTGATGGCAGTGTCAAAGTTAAGATGCTGCTTGATGAAGTGAGATTCATTTTGATGATTGTTTAGCTCAGTTTGGCTATATGAAGTTCCTTTGTTGATTGTCTCTACTTAGTATTTTTGCGCTGGTGGTTTCGTGTGTGGCCATTTCGTTGCAATTGGTTTATAAGTTGTTCCTGATCCTAACAATTATTTTTGGGTGATTTGGCGGTGTAAAGTTGGTTATTTTCAGCAGTTCTCTTGTTGCTAGTTTTTACCACGAGTTGGTAAGGTGGCGGAATAGCCACGAATTCGGGTTCTATTCACCTAGTTATTGGTAGTTATTAGTCTAGTTCCTTATTTTCTTTCTGTAGTATTTGGTTTAATTCCAAGTTTAGTTGCATTTTTTTTTACTGTAGTGATACAAATGTTATGGAATAGTAGGTGTTCTCTGCTTGGTGTGGGTTTTATGTGAATATTAGTCTTAAGGACAAGACTTGTTTTGAAGAGAAGTAGTGTTGTCATGCATTGGACTTGTGTTTTGCATATATTAGAGAATGTAGGGACTGGTTTTTAAATCTTGAAAGAATGGTCAAATATTTTAATAGGCGTCGTGAATTTCATTTTGAAGAAATACATATTCAGCTTCTTCCCAGTTGCTCTATTCTTTCATTCTATTCTTTCATTCCCTTCTGGTTCTTGAATCAATCTTCTCCTTTCAACCTCAATTCTCCCTTAAATCATGTTTAGAATGATGAGAATTCAATTCATAAGATTGGCTCGTGCAAAGTATTAAGAGACTGGCAAAAGCCTAGTATTCCATAAGCACACTAGTCCACAATCAAAAGTCTAGCCGATAAAATGTTAATAGCATATTATAATTTGGAATTGATCCTTAAGTACAGGTTCAGGATTCAAATTTCGTTATTAGGATTGCGTAACCTTAAATATTTTATTCAACTTTTGAAGTGATTGGAATGAGATATTTACAATTCAATTAGGACAATTAGTCATTGTTGTGTACGGTAAGTATCTGGAACAAAAATAAAAAAAAAAAAGAAGGCGTCGAACTCATGACTAAACCTAATGGATTTATAGAAGGACTTTTTATGTATTGGCGTTAAATTTGGGTACCTTCCGATGTGGATGGTGGTTGAAATTCTAAGAAGAGGATAGCTCGGAAGTTAAAAAGGAGATTATCCTCATGACAAACATATTCAATTATTTGGAGCAATAACATGTTCAATTGTCGAGTCAGGTCCTCAGTAATTTGAAAAGAGTGAATTGCCCGGAAAGTCAATAAACTACCCAAAAGTTCGCGGTTTGGTTGTTATTAAAGTTTAATTTATGAGAAGGTAATTACACTTATGAACAGTGCTTGAAACTGGACATTCTGTTAGTCAACTATTTTCAGTCAATAATTATTATCTTTATCTTTTTAATCCTTCTAGTTATGATAATTAACGGTTTGCACCTCAATTCTCGTTTAGCCTCATGTTTACCAGTTTGTTCTTTTCTATTTTTCTTTTCTTCTTTGGTAGCATTTTTGTTAGAAAATGCTATTTAATTAAAAAAATATCATTAGAGAATTTTTTATTTTTCCTTTAATACTCAATAGTTAGTTTTTTAGCTATCTTAATTTTCTTTTATTTTGAATTTTTTTCTTTCATATCCATTTTTAGAAAAAATAAATTAGTTTACATTTTATTTTTCAAATTATGATTTTCAATAAATGTTTTTAATAATACTTTTATTTTAAAAGAAAATATCCCATCATTTAATTATTAACTTTTTAAATATTACTATTCAAATTTAAATTTACAATTTTTTTATTTATTTCAATATTTTAATAAAGTTACTAACATAATCAATTTTAATTTATCATTTTTATTTTATTTACTATTGTATTTAATATTTAAATTAATTTACTAACAAAAATTTTATTTTAGTGACGAAGTTATAACAGTTAAATTATAAGTTTTTATTTGGTTTTCATTTCATCACTTTGTTTAAATGAAATTATAAATTTTAAATTTGATAATTAAAAATGAATAATCAATATTTGATTTGATATATTAAAAATTAAAATTATAAATTTTTATCTTATTGGTGTAAACTAGTAAAAGTCAAAAAAAAGTTGAAATAAAATTCTTATAAATTAAAGAACGGTATTCCAAAAATAGAAGAAAAATGACAAATAGAAATATATAATCAGTGAATAAGAAAGAAAAAAATTTAAAATATGCGATATTAACTTTTCTTGTAAAATAAAATTTTCTAAAAATTAATAACAAAAGAAGAAAAAAAATTAAAAAAAAAAGAGAAAAGATTAAAAGGAAAAGGTAGGACCAAATGAGAATTGATGGCAAAACATTATTAATTTTAAATAGAAACAGTAATAAGTTAAAAATAATAAATTGTTATTAACAGAAAATTGTTGACTAAGGAAGGACCAATTTCAAGCACTATTCATTAGTGTAGTGACCTTCACATAAATTAAAACTGAATACTGACTAAACTGCGGATTTTCTCATAGTTTGGTGTGCCCCGAAAAGTTCACTTATCTGAAAAAGATATTCCCTTGACGGGTCCTAATCACAATGATTATTGATTATGCTGATTAAATCATTAATTATTTACTAAAATGATATTGTGCCACGATTATTCTTTTTCTATGGAAACAGTGTCGCCTAACTTCAATTACTCCTTGAAATTTTAAACTACCAATTTCTGGTAGAGTAAGACACTCAAACTGCTTAGATGCTCCATAACATTACGAAAATGTAGCGACAAAACAATGTAAAGGACATCAGCCTATCTAGAAAACTCAAACCTGAATATATTACCTCTGTTCTAAAATAAAAAATTCACATTAAATTTTAAGATTTTTATTAAAAATTGTATATTAAAATTTAATGTAAACTATTATTATTATTTTTATTTTAGACAGATGGAATAGTATTTATCTTTTATGCCGAACTTCCTTGTCCTTTTCTTTTAAAATTTTCATTTTTATGTTTTTCTCATTGGAAATGTGACAAATAAAACTATGTCGACTGTAGTATTTTGCACACAACAGCATCCTTTAACAAACTCCGGACGGTGGTCGTAAAATATTTGCAATTCAAGTTTTGTACAACTGGACAAACTGCATTGACTAAAATAATTGTGAAAAAAAGTTCCAGCTGGAAGAAGGCAATGAAGTTTGTGATTAATTTTGATATCTTCTTATCCCTCCAAAATGAAATCCTACTATATTAGAAATAAAAACCCTCCTTTCAAACGCCTTCTATAATTGCCACGTGATATGAAGAAAGTATTAAATTGCCATTTTGTCTAATCATAACTAAATTACTAAATCCTCCTTTGCACTTTACGTGACACGTTTTTTTTTTTAAATTTTTTCTTTATGTTTCATTCAATTAGAGTAGTTTTCTTTTCTTAATTATGGAGTCTAAATTGAATTGATCAATTAGGTTTTTGTTACAAAGTGTCAATTTTGTTTTAAGCGTATACCCTTCGGATGAAACTTATTACAAAGCTATTAAAAATCTCCAAAATTAAGTATTGATTTGGCACGACCAATGGAGGACATCAATAAATCATCTTACAAATATTTAAACTTATTCGGATGTTTTTATATTTTGTCTAACATTTACTTCAACACATATATTCGATTAAGTCTATTTATATTTAATAAGTAACACTTATAAAACATTTCTAAAACGTACATGGCGAAATATAATTTCTTTTTTTGTTAAATACAAATACTTCTATGATCACACTTATAAAACATTTCTAAATCCTTCAAATATTTCTAAAATATATCGCTCCAAATACAATTTTTTTTTTAAAATATAAACATTTCTAAGATCTACAGACAGACTGAGCCAGGATCGCGCATTGCACGACCAGACATCACTAGTAATACAGATATCAAAACTAAATACGACTTTTTTTTTTTTTGACCAGTGTTAACATCAGTTAAGTACTATGTAGCAGGTATCAATTGACACTGAAGGCAGTAGTTCATACAATTTATTATTATTATTATTATTATTATTATTATTGCGATTAAATTTGGCTTACAATTGCCAATGTGAGGGGAGTATTTTTCAGTTAGTTTTCATTTTGAAAGGGATCTTTAGCAGAAATCCTTACTTCCATCGGAAATTAAGCAACAAGCTATTCTGAACATTCTCTTTGTGTTGTTAAGTACAATAAGGTCTTGAAAATACTATGCACAACTCGGCCAACCCACTACATACAAAAATCAGTATATTCCAAGTAGGATAATGAATGATAACATAAAGTCAACAGATCTGATTACGTTGAAGTAATTGCAAGCCTGTAATGATCATTTAATGATCGTTAAATTATAGTGGTTGAATAGTTCGTGTCACGAAGAGGAATATTTATTAATGAACCACTTGGTAACATGTATGTTTGACAAACGAAATATATTATCTATAAATACTATCATACCTCCAATTGTTTGCTGCACCTTTCTTCTAAAACACATAGCATCTCCTTCAAAAAAAAAAAAGAGGGAAAGAGAGATTGACATGATGAAAGTAAGCTCCTCATTGTTGGTGTTTGTAGCCACCTTAATGGTGGCCCTAGCACCATTAATGGCCGCCGGCAGTTCCGGCGAAACGCCCAAGGATGTGGAAAAGTGGTACAAACAGTTGTCTGGCAAAAAAGAGAAGCTGACAACGATTCATTTCTTTTTTCAAGATGTTGTTTCCGGGAAGACTCCGACCGCCGTGGAAATCGCCCGGTCCCGTCTCACCGGACCACCAACATTTTTCGGTTTGACTAGGGTGTTTGATGACCCATTAACGGTTACCGGATCACCCAAATCGAAAACCATTGGATATGGTCAAGGGATTTATTCCTTAACCTCACAGGAGGACTTGGCTCTACTTTTCACCTTCAATTTTGTATTTACCGACGGTAAATACAAAGGTAGCACTCTCAGCGTTCAGGGCCACAATCCTCTAGAAGAGAAGTACAGGGAAATGGCAATAATCGGCGGTTCAGGGATTTTCCGGCTGGCTAGAGGAAGTGCGGTGGCCTCAACTTACTGGGCTAATGCTACCAGTCAAGATGGTATTGTTGAGTTTACTCTCTATGTCTTGCATTATGAATGAGGAGGAGCTTCGATTAAAAAAATGTAATTTCCTTGTTTTAGCTGTTTGTTTTTCTTTTGGGATCGGCCGGTTCTGTTGGTCGTTGTTTAAGTCTCTCAAGCATGCGCATGCAAGATTTGTTCCTTGTGGGTGATTTTCAGGTATTTGTCATAATAAAGTGTTGTATTCCCATTCGACCAGTGCTTGGATTTTTATTTCCGATTTTATTTGTAGTTTTGAAAGTATACACTATTGAGAATCCCAGTGCCACATTGGTGCTGGAATAGACTGAATGTCTATATAAAAGTACATGGACTATTCTCCTCATTATCAATTGGTTTTGAGTTGGAATGCCATGGGCATTCGAACTTCAAAAAACCCAACCAAAAAAAAAAAGGTTGAGACGTGAGGCGGTGTATGGACTGAAAAAAACAAGTTAAGCCCAACCCAAAAAAATATGTTGGTCTTGCGTGGGAGTATTGAGAATCCCAGTCTCGTATTGGTGCTAGTACACCTCTTCTACGTACACACATAGTGGAAAAGTATTGTTTACATTTATGGTTCTTTTTGCTTTTTGGGGGCGGAGGGATTTTCGTATGCATGGGGAAAAAAAAAACCAAATTTATGTCGCACGAAGAATTTGTCCATTCAAACTAGTGAATACGTTAGGTTACAACTAAATATCTCGAACTTGTTGTGCTTACCGAAACCCTACGAACCGCCGTAGTGGCCGGCTCTCCTACCCTTTCTCTACTAGTGGTCGGAATTTACACTTTCCAGTCTCGTTTCACGGTCTCATGACCGGTGAACAGGCCGAGGAGCTCCCCACTGGACCTCCTCACACATTTACGAGTTTTTTCCAAAAGCCAATAGACAATCTTTCGTCTAAAGGCTCATTAGTCAAGGAAGTCCGATTCGTTAATGGTGTTCCCATTTTGGAGTATGAAGAAGATGAATATGATCAATTGGTAGCCCCACACCAATTGAGTCTAATCAGGAAGTTTTCCTATGGCCGGCCGAAAATGGAAGAGGTTCACAAAGAATTCAAGAAGCTAGGGTTCCATGGAGGCTATACTCTTGGCCTTATGAATCCTAGGCATGTCCTCATTCGCTTTCAAAGGGAAGAGGATTATCAAAGATCCTGGATTGAAACGTCTTGGAACATCGCCAGATTCTCCATGAGAATTTTGAAATGGAGGCCGGGTTTCAAATTTGAGAAAGATCCCCCCATTGTCCCAATCTGGGTCTCCCTTTTTGATCTCCGGATTGAGAAATCAATCTGGAGGTAGTTTTTTCGATGGCAACCGCGATTGGGAAGCCATTGAAGGTGGATGCGACTACTCTCAACATGACAAGGCCTTCGGTAGCGCGTTTTTATGTTGAAGTTGACCTTACAAAAGAATTCCTAAAATCTGTGAAGGTGGGAAAGAAAGGCAAGAAGCATGATCAGATTTTCACCTATGAACACATTCCGGCTTATTGTACTAAGTGTAATAAGATCGGGCACAAGAAAGAGGATTGCCGGGCTGGCCTTCAAAAGGCTGTTGACAAGAAGAAAAAGGCTCCGGTGAAGATTGTTGATAGAGCCAAAACGAAGGAGCCTTTGCATGTTCATGCCGCTAAGCCACAGGAGAAGTCTGCCTCAAACCCTAGCGCGCAGGAGAAAGCCGCGACTAAGCAGGATGCGACAAACCCTAGCGCGCAAGGTGGGGCTGCAACTGCTTCCGTTGCTGCTACAGACCGACCATCATCTTCTGGACTTTTTGCTAAGGAGAAGAAGACGATTCCAGTGGATGTGCATGATACAGCAACAGAAGATCAATCCAAAGAGGCTTCCCGTTTACCGGATTCACCCCCGCAAGTGAAGGAACCAGGTAGCGCGCCAAACCCTAGCGCGTAGCCTGTTGCGGAGAAGAACAGGTATTCGGTTTTGTCTTCGATTCTGGAGCTCGATGATGAAATAGGATCAGATGAAGACTTCATTGAATCAGTTTATGTGGAAGACTCCCCAAATAAGGAAGTAGAGGAAATGTGTCGGGTTGATGATCATGTTGAATCGCGTGTTTTAGCGCTGATGTCTTTGACGGAGACTCCTCATATTTTTTCTGATGATGGTGACATCGGATTGCATGGAGCTGGTTTGGAGAATGATACGGGAAGCTGGTCTAAGGGTGAGAAAGATGAGGTCCTGGTGCATGGGGACGTCCGGGGAGATTTTATGATTACAAAGAAACGTGGTCGCAAGTCTAAGGAGGAGCGGGCTAGATCACAGGTGGGTTTGGTGCTGCGGTGCTCAGCCTACTTAAACTGATTTCTTTCTGATTTTCTATCCCATGTTAAACCAAATAATATGGAATATCCGAGGCATAAAAAACCAGGCGTCCCAAAGGCATTTGAGGTGTTTGCTTCGGATTTATAATGTTCGGATTCTGGTTACTTTGGAGTCTATGCTTCAGGTTGATAAGTTAGATGAAATAAAGCCCGAGCTTGCTTTTGATACTGCTTACTCCTCAAATAACAGCAAAATATGGTTTTTTTGCAAATCTGAAATTCATGCTTCATTGTTGAGTGATGATGATCAAGTGCTGCACTTTGAAATTAAGCATCCTCTAGTGTCTCGATCTTATATCTTGTCGGCTGTGTATGCCAAATCGACAAGGGCCAGGAGACGTGAACTTTGGCAAAGTTTGGAAGGGTTAAACGTAATAATATGGGTGCTCCATGGATGGTATGTGGGGACTTTAATGTTATTAGAAGCTTGGAGGAATACAGCGGTGTCTCGGTGCAGGACCATTCGGCCATAGAGGATTTCAACATGTGTATTCAGGCTTGTAATTTGCTAGAGATTGAAGCTGTTGGCGAGGATTTCACTTGGGGTGGAACAAGGAACACAGGTTGGGTGAGTAAAAAATTAGATAGAGTCCTTTTCTCGGATGAATGGCTGGATACCTTTCAAGTTAATTCCATTGAGAATTTGAGTAGAACATCGTCCGATCACAGCCCCATGCTACATATGTTTGGAGTGCAAGGAGTTTCCAAGCATAGAGTTTTTCGGTTTCAGCAAATGTGGCTGCGAAGATCGGAGTTTCTTTCAGTAGTTAAGGAGAATTGGGAGCAGCCTACAGAGGGTTTTGGAATGATAGCTTTCTCTCTTAAATTGAGAAGGCTAAAAATCAAGCTTAAAGAGTGAAATAAATCGTGTTTTGGTGATGTCTTCGCCAACTTGAAGGAAGCGGAAGCAAAGGTACAAAACCTAGAAAATCTTTATGATCTATCCGGCATGGAGGGTGACAGAATGAACTTGCATAATGCAAAGGCTTTGCTGCTGTTGAGACTTAAAGAACATGAGGATTTTCTAAGACAAAAAGCACGAATTAGGTGGTTGAAAGAGGGTGATGCTAACACCTCCTACTTTCATGCTTCTCTAAGAGAAAAACGGCTGAGACAAAATATCCATAAAATTCAGGATCGGCAAGGAATCATGCTAACGGAAATAAATGCCATTGAACAAAAAGCTGCCGGTTTTTTTGAGGATCTCTTGCAGGAGGATGCTGCCTATAGCTCTTTGCATGAGGCCGTGCATGAGGTCTTCTTGCAACACATCCCGGTTATTTTGGGGGCTGATGACCATGACCTTCTCTTGCGCCCCATCTCACTTGAGGAAGTCAAAGAAGCTGTCTTTAATCTGAATGAAGAAAGTGCTCCGGGAGTTGACGGATACACTGGTGCTTTTTACGGAAGTTGTTGGAATGTCATCTCGGATGATCTTTGGTCCGCATGTAAGGAATTTATTCTTGGGGTGCCAATTCCACGAGCTATTGCTAGCACTTTGATTACCTTGCTTCCAAAAAAGCAGACTGTAGAACTTTTTCAGATTTTCGCCCTATTAGTCTTTGAAATTTTCTCAACAAGATTTTTACCAAAATTTTGACTGAGCGTTTGAAGGTGGCGTTACCAAAAGTTATTTCTGAGGAACAATCAGCTTTTCTGTCTGCTAGGGACATCATTGATAATGTTCTGTTGGCACATGATCTTTGCTAGTTCATAAATCGCAAGGCGGAGGGAGGTAATATTGTCTTGAAAATTGATATGATGAAAGCATTTGATAGGGTTCAATGGAACTTCCTTGAATCTATTTTACTGAAGTTTGGTTTTCCACCAAATTTTGTAAAATTGGTCATGAATAACCTTCAGAACAGTTAGTTTTCTGTGTTAATAAATGGTAGTCCTGCTGGCTTTTTTAAAGCTTCCCGGGGAATTAAGCAAGGAGATCCGTTGTCGCCTTACTTGTTTATCATTGTTTCGGAGGCCTTAACTAGAAGATTGAAAGCTCTAGTTTTGGACGGTAAGATTGCTCCTTATGGATCTCCTGCGGGTTCACTCGTGGTCTCACACTTATGTTTTGCAAATGATTTGATTATTTCTACGAAGGAGACTCAAAGATCTTTACGAAGGCTAAATTCTTTCTTTGAGCAATATGAAAAAGCTACTGGTCAAAAAATCAGTAGGGGTAAAAGCTCTTTTGTGGCTTCAGAGAAGTGTAGTTCAAGAAGAATTGAAATGATCAAAGAAACATTAGGAATGCAACATGGCTCTTTTCCCTTCACATATTTGGGATGCCGAATCTTTAATGGAAGGAAAAAGGCGGCTATATTCCAATTTCTCTTGGATGCTATGGATGCTAAGCTCCTGAATTGGAAAAACAAGTTTTTATCTCCGGGACGCCGACTCATGCTCATTTGGTATGCTTTGAGTTATATGCCGCTTCATGTTTTTTCAGCAATCCCTCCACCTAAGTCGATCATTAGGGCTATGGAACCTCGCTGCCAAAAGTTTCTTTGGGAAGGATCAAGCGAGGTTAAGAAGAGGCATTGCCGCTCTTCGGAAAGAGTCACTTTTCAAGAAAATGGCCTTGGATTGAGAAGCTTTGATGCTGTTATCTCTGCCCTTACTTCTAAATTATGGTGGAAATTGAAGAACAACAAGGGCATTTGGAGCGCCTTTCTTCACTCTTTGTCTCACTCGGCTAAGGAGAAGACCTCTTGGGCTAGAGTAATGAAAGTTGGTGAATTAGCTATAACTTTTTCTAAGATTATTGTACGGAATGGGGATCGATCATTCTGGTATGATAATTGGGGCCCCAATGGTGTCTTTTGAGTTAATGCATCTGATAAGCCTCCATGGCCGGACCTTTGCATTCGAGAATTTCAAGAGAATAAAGACCTTTATCTACTGGCTTTACAAGGTTACCTCAGTCCAGCAAATTTTGCCTTCTTGGAAAATTTTGATATAGTTTTTATGGAGGGTGATGATATTCTTGTTTGGCAAAGCACTCCTCAAGGGCAATTTACGGTCAAATCCTCTTTCGAGTCCCTTCGACGGAGGCAGTAACCGGATTTGATGCTTAAGCCTTTGTGGCACAAGTTTGTTCCTTCGCGCATCTCTTTCTTCCTCTGGAGATTGCGCAATGGTTTACTTCCATTTCCTGAAACCGTTAGTGCCTTTGGTATACTAACAAGGCCTTCTATGTGTCTCCTTTGCAGAAACAAAAGTGATGATTTGCATCATTGCTTTTATGGTTGTAATTTTATTACAGCTATATGGGATCATTTTGCTCTTGTAATGAGTGTAGAAGTTCAGGGGCATAGCACCTTGTTGGGTCTCTTGAAGAGGTGGTGGCGCCATGGATCTTTCACATCAGCGATAAAGTCTTTTTATTACTTATTCCCCATCTTTATTCTTTGGGAAGTTTGGAAGGCAAGAAATAAGGCAATCTTCGAAGGAGTTCAGCCCTCTTTAACCTTGGTCATTCACTTAATCCATCATCGGGTTAAAGACTTAATTTTCATTCATGGTTTAAAAGTAGTTGGTGATGCTGAAAATTCCTTTATTTTAAGTCTTTTTGGATTTCACTTGACTCGAGCTAATAAAAAGAACCCTAAAGTAGTAAGATAGATTCCCCCAGATTCGAACTGTTTTATTTTGAATTCAGATGGTGCATCAAATGCTAATGGAGCAGGATATGGTTTTGTCATCCGAGGAGAAGGTGGTAAGTTCATTTATGGAGAAAGTGGATACTTGGGTGATGGAGATTTTTTCCAAGCAGAAATTTTTGGTCTTCTATTTGGACTTCGCAGGTGCGAGCTCCTACAACTTTCAAATGTTAGGTACAAACTGATAATCATTCTCTGGCTTGTATTCTGAATGAGAAGAGAGGATTTCCACGGCGTTTTCATTTAGAGTTGATTGAGATGTGTTCTGTCATCTTAAGGAATAATTTCTTGGTCTCTCATATTTACAGGGAAGGCAATGCAGTTGCAGACTGTTTAGCCAAACAAGCATTAAGTGGAATATCTAATACTTACAATAGTTTTGTATCACTGTTTAGCTTTGTAAGGGGCTTTTGATATTAGATCAATTGTGCTTTCCAGATTTACGAAAGTAGCTTCTATGGCCTTGTATAAGGGTGAGACATAAACACTGCCCTCTTTTTTCCATATCTTAATAAAATCAGGGAAGGGTGAAGCTAGGGAACTATATAGTATAAATGTCCATCCCTTTGGTAGACCCCTTGGGTGCATTGTGCTATATAGCACCTCCTATCTCAAAAATTTACCTCCTAGGTAGACCCCTTGAGTTTTTTTGAGATAGTTCGAACCTGAATGTCACCCTTGCCTTCCTGTTGAGTTAAAAAAACGTTAGGTTACATTTCAATTCCATGTAATTCTTCAAATTCTAAGCACAACTTTCGCCTAAAGAGAATCCCGAATTTCTAAATTAATAGCTCTATCGCTTAACATATTGGCCATTTCTCGAGCAACAACTTCCTGGTACCTCATCTTGTTTTCGAATTCTTGAATATTCCTCTCTTGTCACAAAGTATATACAAGTGGTGCAAACAAGATACGAAAAGCCAGATTAACTAAGTGTGAAGAATCAGCAAGTTTTGATCCAGGATGAAGGCAGTGGAAGGATTTCTAGCCAACCGACTAAGTTTGTACAGTTTTGTCCTTTTGATGAGTGTAGATGTATAAGTTAAGTGGAGGTTAATATGGACCTTTTACTAAGGGTAGTTATAGGACATATTAAATACAGCTAATCATTAACTGTTAATTGTGTAGATATATGTACAGATACGGTAGCTGGTAGGATATACATACATATTCATACAAAACTGTATACTGAATGAAAAATTCCCAAAATCCATTCTCTCTATTTCTCATAAACCCTAGAATATGAAGTTTTTGATTCTTCTAGATGGTATCAGAGCAGGTTAATCCTGCTTCTGAAAACTAGATGGTATCAGAGCAGGTTAATCCTGCTTTTGAAAACTGTTGTAGTGCACAAATCTTGAAAAACCTCAACCACAACATCCGTTAATTCAAAGAAATGGCCGATAATCAATTCGCAGAAGGTTTGTGACGAACAGCAGCAAGATCTGATGAAGCTCGAATTGAGCGAAGGAATGAAGATTTCTTGGATGATCGAACCTTCTCTGAGGTTTGCAGGGAGAATTCAGCCGTGAATTATGGCAGATACACTCATCCTCTAACTTTGCTTCCGTCTGATACTCTGAATCTGTCAATCATCAATTGTCAGTTAACGTCAAACAATTATGTGATCTCGTCACTCAATGAGAAGAGCTGTAAGCTCGAAGAACAAGCTTGGATTCATTAATGGTACTGTTGTCAGACCAACAGAAGGTAATCAAGATTTTGAGCAGTGGCGTAGAGTAAATGACACAGTGACATCATGGATTCTGAATTCTATTTCAAGTGAATTGCTTGAAGGATTTAATATGGCAGAAGATGCTAAGGAATTGTGGCAAGTCTTCAAGGATAGTTTTGGGACAAGTAATGCGCCTTAGATCTATCAGTTGAAGCGTGAAATTAGCAGGTTCATAAAAGGCAATTTAAGTTTACCAGGATACTACACAAAGTTGAAGAAGCTATGGGATGAGTTAAGTAGCATTGATCCACCTGAGGTTTGCACTTGTCATGGTTGTGTTTGCAGAATTAATCGAAATAGTGGAGGAAAGGAAGAAAGGGATAGATTGATGCAATTTCTGACAGGTCTTAATGAGTCTTACTTGCCTATAAAGAATCAAATCTTAGCCACAGATCCACTTCCAGGTGTTAAGAAAGCCTACTCAATGGTTCTGAATGTTGAGAGACAGCAACAATTACATACCTCACTGGAAAGTCATGGGGAGCAGAGTGCAATGCTGGTCAACAAAACGAATTACAACTACAACAAAACTGCTAAGACTATCTTTAACAATGCAGGAAGCAGCAATGGACAGAAAAGTAGCTATAGCAATATTGGGAAGGAAAACGAGATCAGGTTGGATAAGGCTGCAAAGAAACTTTTGAAGTGTGATCATTGTGGTATGACAGGACACTTGAAATCCGGATGCTTCAAGCTTATTGGATATCCAGAATGGTTCAAGGAAATGAAGGAACAAAGGAATTCACAGACAGGGAGAATTTCTGCACATGTAGCTGAAGCTCCAACAGATGTAGAGAGTAGATCAAACATTGCAGGAGCTGGTGATCTGCTAGGTATGATGAACAATATCAAGAGGATGGAACAGGAGCTAAGCCGCATGATCAAAGGAAAGGGACAGGCACAGGATGGTGATCACATCAACTTTGCACATTTCACTGAATTTGCAGGTATGACTACTTTTAAGGCATTAAGTTCATTAGACAATTTATTGCTTCTATGCTGGATAATAGATTCAGGTGCTACCAGCCATATGACCTCAGACCTGCAGCTCTTATCTTTTTTTAAACCATTGACAACCTTTACACCAGTTTACTTACCTGATGTCAGTGTTACACAAGTTGAACATATAGGACAAGTGAACCTAGGCACAGATGTTACATTACATGACTGTTTGCATATCCCATCCTTTAAACACAACCTTATATCTGTGAGAAAGTTGGCATCATCATCTAAGATTGATTGCTTCTTCTCAACCACCTTTTGCCTATTACAGGACCAAGTGACTAGGCAACTGGTGGCTGTTGGAAGGGTGGTGAACCAACTCTATGTCATTGACCATCAATCATTTTCCAAGGAGAGAATCTTAGACTTCATTAAGGACCATGTTAATCATCCTTTTGTATCAACAGTGAAAACTGTTTCTTATCATTCTTCCAATCATGTAAATAGTCCAAATAATGCCATTTGGCATAGTAGACTTGGCCACCCATCTGAGAAGATTGTAAGAATGCTTTCTCTATATAATCTTTCTGATATTAATGATAGTGTGTGTGAAATCTGCCCTTTGGCAAAACAACACCGTTTACCATTTCCTACAAGTGTTATTCATACTAATGACATTTTGAGCTCATTCATATTGACATTTGGGGTCCTTTTGGAAAAAAAATCTTTCTGTGGTGCTCAGTATTTCCTCACCATAGTAGACGATTTCAGTAGGGCAACCTGGACTTTTCTCATGAGGGATAAGTCACAAGTTTACACTGTCATCAAAACCTTTTTCAAACTCATGCAAAATCAGTTCCAAAAGTTCATAAAAACCATCAGAAGTGACAATGGTTTAGAATTTCTTAGCCAAGACTGCGAGAGTCTCTTCACAGATTTAGGCATTATCCACCAAAAATCCTGTGTTTACACACCACAGCAAAATGGTGTTGTAGAACGCAAACATAAACACATACTCCAAGTAGCTAGAGCACTTCTATTTCAATCAGGTTTACCTAAACTTTTCTGGGGGGATTCCATCTTAACAGCTACATATCTGATAAACAGGCTGCCATCCACAGTTCTTGAGGGTAGAACACCTTATGAAGTTCTATTTTCTAAACCACCAGACTATACTCATTTGAGAACTTTTGGTTGTTTATGTTATGCAACCAATACTCTTCCACATAAAGCCAAATTTGGTCCTAGGGCAATCAAGTGTGTCTTCACAGGATACCCTCCGGGTCAGAAGGCCTACAAACTATTTTCCCTTCCAAGAATGATACATCATCGTCAACACCTTTTGTTTCACCTCCTGTTCTTATTGATGAATCTTGGCCTGATACACCATTACCTCCAAGTCTTCATTCTACACATTCTGATCATTCTGATCATTCTGTACATTCTAATCAACCCATAAATTTGCCTACTCCTGATTCATCTCCACA